AAAGACATGTAATCTCTAACTTGGAGATCATGAATAAGAAAAATAAATAAATTTTAAAATAAAATAAAAATTCTAGTAAGAAAACATTTGAACGGCTGGTTTCCATTGTTTTTTAGATGGAACACCTACTTGCATCCATCTTTAAGGTGGATGCTTTACACTTTCTGGACCGCAAATGTAGAAATGCGGTCCAGCCCGCATGAAACAATTTTCCTATTAGTTAAGGGTGTGGTTTGTATAGAACCGAGGCGGTAAACAATAAAAGTAAAGTGTACCTTCAAATAGTGTCGAGAAATGTAGTTTCAATATTGGAAATCTTTGTGAAAGTCTTAAAATATATTTTCATCTTTAATTATAAAATTTAAAGCTTAAAAAATATAGTGTAGATCGAGTAGATCTATGAAAACTTGAAAATCTTGAAAATTGATGGTCCAAAAATGCATTACAAGGTACTCTATTTTCAAAACTTGAAATCGATTTTTTTCTCATATCCATGCATCTTGAGGTCGAGATGATCAATTTGATGATAATTGGCCATCAAAACAACTTCGTTTAGTGAAATTTTTGAGGTGTGCTCTAATTTGGTTGTTTAAAGTAGTTAAAGGCATTTCTTTTGGCAGTACAAGGGATTTCATGGGATGAGAGGGGGACATGGTAATTATGCATTCACATATTGGTTTTCGGAAGATTTATCAAAGGGAAAAGTTTATATAGAGCCGAGTCTCTAAACAATCAAATTAGAGCTTGCCTCAAAAATTTCACTAGAAGAGTTGTTTTAATACCCAAATATCCTCAAATTGATCATCTCAACATCAAAATGTATGGACTTGAGAAAAAAATGGATTTCAAGTTTTGGAAATAGGGTATTTTGTAACGTATTTTTGGACTGTCAATTTTCAATTTTTCATAGGTCTGTCGATCTACATTATTTTTGAAGCTTTAAACTTTATAAATAAAAATGATAATATATTTATGGCTATCATAAAGATTTCCAGTATTGAAACCACATTTCTCGACAGTATTTGAAAGTAAGCTCTAATTTGATTGTTTAGAGCCTAGGCTATATACAAACCACACCCTTTATCAAAATATGAGTAACGGATCAACTATTTAATATTTTATCCATATCTTTTTATTTAATTTTAGAATACCCATCTAATTTCGTATGGCATAAGTTGGAATAGTTAACAAAGGATAAATTATTAGAAGAAAAAAATATATAAATATATTTTGACAAAGTTTTATCGATTTTTCTTTTAAAATGTTTATCCTCTCCTCAAAAAGGCCCATGTAACGTGGACCATTCATGTTTTTCTTCCTTAATCTCCACCGTCTAGAGTATTGTATTCAAATCGCAGAGGTCGATGTAGTATCTCCACTGTCTGGCATATTGTATTCGAATCGCTTAAAATAGCGCACATAGCGTGGAATTTATTGGTCAGTTTACATTTTCATGCCAAATTTTATTTTTTTGAAAATATTCCTAACTTTTATTAGTCAACCAGAGCATTATAAAATTCAGGGGATAGCAAAAAATTACATTCCCATTCCAATCTCTCACTATCCCTCTACGTCAGCCATCTGGATAACCATAAGAACTCCTATCACAATTCAACTTATAACAACTTTGCAATGGAAGAGCCCACTACTTTTGGCTTAAAGTTCACCATACCCGTCCTAAACAAATTTGGGAGGTTTGTCAACACATCAACCTCCGTGACCCCCATTCTTCTTTTAAAATAGATAACGAACTCCACAAGGTATGTTTTATATTGAATAACACCCACCGAGATTCAGACTTTTTGAAGGACGAGCGGCGGGTGTTATAGATCTGCTCAATCTATACCACTTTTAGAATTTCCAATTTTATAGCTAATACAAATTTTCAAGCCATCCTAAGGTTTCTAACACCAAAAATACATCTCCAGACAAAATTTAGAAGCACACGTTACTTTTACAGTATAAAGAAGCAATCTTATGTAAACCTAGATTTAGATATTCACTGACCTGAAATGAACATCACGTCAAAACAAGGTCCGACCGATCAACCTGGCCCATTGCCAACCTAGCGTTTCTAGGGCTGGCCAATCGGGCTGGGCCGGTCCGAGTTCACATCCATTCTGTCCCAAATTCTAAGTTGGGATCTAATGTAAATTCTAAGTTGGGAGAAAATCCTAAACTTCAAAATATTGTTTTTTTTTCGAAAATCGAATTTCAAGATGAGGAAGAAATAATCTTTTCCCATAACGAAAACAAAAAAAAAAAATGTTTGTTTTGGGTGAATTTAATTTTCAAGGATATAAACCATATCACTTTGATATTCTGGCTGAAACGGGAGCTACCACATGCGCCTGTTGCCCAACAACGTTGCCACTAGAAAAATGAGAACGTATGAAAAGCCCATTACATGCAACCGGCATCAATGGGAACAATACTCTCATAGAGTACAAAGCCAAAAACATTGCTATCTTGTTGGGAAATAAAATTTTTTCGATCCCTAAGATACTATGTTTTCCATTCATACATGGAGATTTTATTTTGGGAAACAACTTTTTGCAAAATCATTACCCAATTGAGATCCTCTCAAACAAAATAACTTTGAACCAAAAAGGAGAAAAAATTGATATACCTATACTTATAGAACATAAGTATAGATGTCAGTTTGAATTCTCACCTAAAAAACGGGGAGAAACCATTCAAAAATTCTAAAATTTCAAAAATAACTTTTTCAAAGAGTTAGATGCTACCTACTGAATTTACAAAATGCTTGAACCAAATTTCCTAGAAATCCCTTTGAAATTATGGTCCAAAAGTCCAAGATACTGTAGCCTGAAACTCTCCAATCCAAATAGGATCATAAGAGTAAAACTCATGGTCTATCTCAAAAAAGATATAGACGAGTTT